CCTTTCTCCGGGACAAACGTGCTGTCAGAGGCCTTTGTTCCTTTGGTGAGCCCTTCCCTGGGGCGGCAGACAGCCACCATATCTGGGACTCCAGCAATCTGGCTCACACCGGTAGCCCCGCCCTGGTGACTCCCTGAGGCCCTGCCCCACCCCACCCAACTTTCAGGCCCACCCAAGCTGTTGCCACTTGCTTAACCATAGGATTGGCCTGTCTTGGATCCTGCTTCAGGTTTTTCCTAAATTCTTTCAAACGAGCAGCATCGGGTCTCAGCGAGCCCCATACCTCTCATTAAGTAATACACTGAAACAAACACAGGGAGGCAACCAAAATGAGGAGACAAAGAAACAGGTCCCAAATGAAAGAACAGAACAAAACCCCAAGAAAAGAACTAAGCGAAATGGAGATAAGCAACCTAACAGATGCTGAGTTCAAAATACTGCTTATAAGGATGCTCAATGAACTTAGTGAGAACCTCAGTGAACTTAGGGAGGGCATCAAGAGCATAAAAAAAGACCAGTCAGAATTGAAGGAGGCATTAACTGAAATAAAGAATAATTTACACAGCTTCAATACTAGAGTACGTAAATCCAAGGAGCAAACCATCGATTTGGAATATAAGGAAGCAAAAAATGCCCAATCAAAACAGCAAAAAGAAAAAAGAATCCCCCAAAATGAGGATAGTGTAAGGAGCCCCTGGGACAACTTCAAGCGTGCCAACATTCGCATCTTGGGGGTGCCAGAAGGAGAAGAGCGAGAACAAGAAATCAAAAACCTGTTTGAAACAATAATGGAAGAAAAGTTTCCTAACTTGGTGAAGGAAACAGACATACAAGTCCAGGAAGCACAGAGAGTCTCAAACAAGATGAACCCCAAGAGGCCCACACCAAGACACATCATCATCAAAATGCAAAAGGTTCAAGACAAAGAGAGAATCCTAAAAGCAGCAAGAGAAAGGCAGCCAGTTACCTACAAGGGAGTACCCATAAGGCTGTCGGCTGATTTCTCAAAAGAAACTTTGCAGGCCAGAAGGGAGTGGCAAGAAATATTCAGAGTGATGAAAAGCAAGAACCTACAACCAAGATTACCCTATCCTGCAAAGCTGTCATTTAGAATCCATGGCCATATAAAGACTTTCCCAGACAAGAAAAAGTTAAAGGAGTTCATCACTACCAAACCGTTATTATATGAAATGATGAAGGGTCTTTTTGAAGAAAAAGATAAAATATATGAACAAACAAAATGGCAATGAATACATATCTATCAACAATGGAATCTACAAACAAAATGAACAGGTAGATCAGAAAGAAACATTCTCATAGACACAGAGAACATTTTGTTGGTTGCCAGATGGGAGGGGGTTGGGAGAATGGGTGAAAAAGGAGAAGGGATTAAGAAGTACAAATTCACTGCTAGACTGACAAACCTCAAAGGGAAAGGGGTTGGGGGGTGGGAAGAAATAAACCAAAGAACTTATATGCATAACCAATGGACACAGACAATAATGTGGGAAAAGGCGGGAGGGGGTCGGGAGGAGGGAGGAGGGGGGTCAATGGGGGAAAAATGTGGAACATCTGTAATACATTCTACATTCGACAATAAAGATTTAAAAATATGTGTGTGTATGTGTGTATATATGTGTGTGTGTGTATATATATATACACAATTTGTTGTGATTAACACATTTTTTGGATTAACAGGCATCTTTTGCAAAGCCTTTCTGTATTCACAGAATTTCCCACTTACCAGTCTTGCTTGTCCATTCAGGAAGTCAGAACTCAATATCCCGGCCTCCTTTACAGCTAGGCACAGGCAGGTGACTTACACTTCGCTAAATACGGTCGCCCATCTGGCTCTGCACTGGAGAAATGCTAGGAAGCAGGCGTATTTGGTAGGAATGATAATGACGGCTTTTACCTTCAAGGGGCAGTAGCAGTGAAGCTTTAAGCGTCTAAACCTCAGTTTCTTTGGTATGGGTCCTTTGAGAAGCAGATGCCAAGAACAGCTTGAACGAGCAGGATTCTATTGGAAGGAATGTCTGTGCAAGGAAAAACAGTCAAGGGTCCACTATGCAAGTCTGACCCTGAGGAGAGAAGACAGAAGCGAAGGTTGGGCGGAAGCGTCCTAGACTAGCATTCGAAGTCTGTAAAAATCTTAGCAAAGCGGATGGGGAGTCCTCTTGCCTAAATGGGCTGTCAAAGAAATTCCCCACCTCCCAGGAACCGATCCGCCTTCCAGTTCCTACCCGACTGGATCATTGCTTAGGAGCTGCCCACGGGAGGAGTGGCCTCCCTGAAAATGCTGCGGAGGATTTCACAGCCCCACGCTGAAATCTCTACACGGTTTGGGAGCTTGATTAAAAAATGTTTTCTAAATGATGTGGCGCAGCAGTAGTTACAAAGAAGGTGATTCATGGGAAGCTTTTGCCTCTCCGTCATGCTACATTGGTTTACAGCCTCTCACTCGGCAGCTGATGGGAAAGGAGGTGGGCATCAAGACACCTGGCTCCACACTTCCTGCTTTGAACAATGCAACGTGGGAGGTTTCCATGGGTCCAGCCCATTACTTTACCCCAGATAGGGTGACTGACCCTGTTGTGTTGTCCTCTCCTTCCTCCTCCTCCCACTCCTAAGTCCTTGTTTTATTTATCTGTCTTCATTGTTTACTCCAAATATCCTCTACTTTTTTCCTTCCAATATCCAATGAACTGTGAAGTTGTCAATTTGCACAAACTGATTTAACTTTGAGAGATTTCCCTTAGCTGAACACGTCATTACATCAAAGTAAACGATGTAAACTCATGATGTGGAGAATACTGGGGCTTAAAGGCAAATAATAGAGTATGTAATCAAAGTCATTTCAGGGGTTATATAAAATGTGTGTATTATGTGCCCTTGAGCCACTTCAACTCCTGGAGACCTTATGAATGAATGATGTCCACAATGTCCAGTCCTCAACAGTCCTGCTCAGCTCCTGTAGACTCATGGCTATCGCTTCTTTTATGGAATCAATTCGGAACTTTTCTAAAATATTTTTATGGGATCCATAAGCCAAAAAAAATATATATATATATTTTGAACAACAGTTTCAGGAGTCTAATGACTTCTTTAGTTTCATAATGAACAGTTCATTATCCATTCACTGAGTAATACTCTGGCGGAGGAACATAACTGGTGTGGTAGAAAATATTGGGGACAGACTGTAAGAACAGAAATATAGCTTTTTCATTAACTCATTTTCTAACCCAAGGCAGTCAGTTAACCTGTCTAACTCTGTCTGTAAAATGAAGTGATTGAATTATTGTTCATTTAAAATTGGGAGCTATTCTATCACTATAAACTCTCTTTGAATACCTTCTAAGAGTTTGTCTTTTTCTTGCCTATTAGTTTGAAGTTCTTTTCTAGAGGTAACAAAGGCAGTTGGGAATAAGAAGGAAAACATTAACTATTGCATTTTCCTTTCCCTCTCCACTAAAGAAAACATGCTTCTGTGGAGTGAATAAACGGTCAAGTAATCAATGAAAACTATTGCACAGCCATTACAGTAATTTTTGAGACTTCATGGAGGGTCTCCTAAATCCTGTGGATTGGAGACAGGCCTACATAGGGCTTCCCTATACACTTAGAATCCATGATAGAATCTAAGGGGTTAAAAAACTTGTGTAGGAAAAAATAAAGCTTTGTTTTCACTAACTTCTTAATTAGTTTCCTTCAACTTTGAATAACCAGATAGTATTACTAGTCACTGTTTGTTACTCTGTCGCCAATAAAAATCGGTTTCTTATAGCACATTGTTACAGATGTCTCAAAATACAATTTATACTCTTCACTATTTTGAAGTTATGGGAGTTTGTTTCATTTGGTTGTAGCCCCTGTCATTTGAAGAACACATATAAGTATATACATACATATAAAACAATTGCTATTTAACAAAGTTGGTTTTAATATCTTTGATAACTATATTTCAACATAATTTCCGTTGTAATATATATCTCACTTTATGTGTTTAAAAACATTGCTCCGAAAAGGAATCTATGAACCTCACAGGGTTGCCAAAGAAGTCTTTGGCGCGCGCGCACACAAACACACAAAGACTAATATCCTGGCATAGATACAGCCTTCAAGATCACTAAAGGGCTCCTAGTGCATCATGAAGCAATTTGATCGCCGCCGCCGTAAATCTGTAAAACGGCAAATTATGGCTTAATAACTGAGTAGAGAACACGAAGGAGCAACCAAAAACTGCAACTTAAAGAGAAGAGAAGAATGTTTTTCAGAAATCCCGGAAGCCAAGGGTAAGCAAGGAGGATAGGTGGGGCCCACATCAGTTTCATATTTTGTTACTGACTACAAGGAATGAAGTGAGTGTTACTCACTTCCTGTTGACTGAAGCTAGGACCCATCCAACCCCATTCCTCCCTGCTCTGATCAAAGGCTCGCACTCTAGACAGGCAGGGGAACACACAGCACTGAGTCACAGAACTCTGTATCAAAAATGTATGTCCAGAATGTTGCTACTACCCGACCACTAACTAGCGAGCTAACGTGCATGCGTTGGCTCCCTCCGGTCTGCTGGCGCTTCTGCAGCAGTTGACAGAAAGTTTCGTCCAGAACCTCAGGTTCCGAAACCATCGCTTGCCAGCGGGCGGGTTTCCACTCCTCCAGGATGTTGGCACATTTTTTTCCCCGTCTCTAGAGGAGCGTTTGGGCCCGGACACACGAACCATTTGATTGGAGGTCGCCCTCTCCTAAAAATTCCAAGTGCAAGCCCCTTTAAGGCCCCAAGTTCCAGAACCGAATCCTCCAGCAGCGTCTCAGACCCCGCCTCCTTCTCTGCGGCCGGGCCAGCACTCGGCACCGCTCCTGAGAGCGCGCCGTTAGCTTACGTACAGCTCGTGATTGGCCACCTCACCCTGGCGGGCCGGGATTGGCGGCCGGCTGGCCCCGCCCCTCGCCCCGCCCAGGCCCGCGGCCGCCCGGGTGTCCTCGCGCCGCTCGTCCACGCGCAGTCTGGCAGTTTGCCTCTTCCTCGTCCTCCAATCTGCGTCCATGGCCGCCGCCGCCACCGAGGAGCCCTTTCCCTTCCACGGCCTGCTGCCCAAGAAAGAGACCGGGGCCGCCTCCTTCCTCTGTCGCTACCCGGAGTATGACGGGCGCGGGGTGCTTATCGCCGTCCTGGACACGGGAGTTGACCCCGGGGCTCCGGGCATGCAGGTGCGGTGGTCACGGAGGGCCCAGGCTGGGGGCGCGGGCGGCCGGCGGGCCGGGGACGCGGATGGGCGCAGCGTCCGAGCCTGGAGGCCGAAGCCCTCTCTGTGGACGGGCGGGAACCGGGAACTGGAGGGAGGCAGAGGGCAGGGAGTGCGCGGAGGCCGGGCGGGGGCCCAGGAGCCCGGCGTCCCGGCTGGTCGGTGATCCGGCCCAGACAAAAGCGGCGTGCCTGGCGCGGCTGGTTGGGTGCCTGGTCCGCCTTTCACCCGGGAAGCCCCTTCCTGCCCAGGTGCTGCCAGGCCCGGGCCCTGGAGCCCTGTAACACTGCAGATCCCTCGTGCCCCGGGCACCGGCCAAGTGCCTATTTTCAAATGAGGGTTTTATAGTTTTTATTATGTGTTGGGTGGTGGGGTGGGGGGAGAGAAAAGGGGCAAATGACCTATCAGAATTCGTTTTTATTTCTGAGTTTGGGAGATTAGTTTTGGGAAGAATTGCTTATTTTTAAACACGAGAGCTGGGTTTCATGAAGATAACTCGGTCAACTTCCGGAATTGTTTCCTCTGGTAGTTTTCATGTATTCTATTTTTATACTCTCTTCTGCCTTGCATTTGTTTATGGTCATTGAAACGCTTGGCTTACTTAGTGCTTACTTGACATAAGAAGAATCTAACTTAGTTTGATTTTGAACTTAAGACTTTATTAAATTATACATCTGTATATTTTTAGCCTCCAAATATAAGACAACATACTTTAATTACAGTTTTAAAAAGTGTTTAGTTTTGCCTTAGATCAAGGTGTACCATACTGAAAGGTAACTTTAAAGGATGTGTCTCTGGACTAAACGTATTCTGGTTAAAGTCTTCAAAGTTTGACTTCTGTAAATTTAGCCATAGTTCATTACTGAAATCCAGTAATAAACAAAATTTCACTGATCTGTTCAAGTTCCATCTCCCAAAAGTCTAACCTGGCTAATCCTACTGAATGCTGATCTCTCCCTTATTTCAGTCCTTCATCTGTGTATATCTCCCCTTCTTTCTGCACTAAATGTTGAAATTTAAATAATTCTCTTCCTTCCCGCATGCCTCTCCTTCCTCTGGACCCTGTCTTGTGCTCTCTAATAATTGAGGTAGCATTTTGGAGGTTAGGATATAATAATACTAGGGGAAAGGAAACCAGTGTAGAATCTCTCTGGTTCCTCCTGTTAATCATTTAGCTGCTTTCTGGAGTACATACAACACACCTTATGGTGGCCCTCCCAGGTAGCTTGGTGAAGCAGAAGAGGAGCAGGTGATGAGTTCCCTCCTGGTAGCTCTAATGGTACAGTTGTTGTATTAATAACTCTGAAGACTTAAAACAATGACAGCTCTCACCTCATTGAGACTTTAGTACAGAGCAGTAATGGTTTCCATTCTGTTGTGGTGTATGTTTTCTTTCTTTTTTTTTCTTTTATTGAGTTTTACTTTTCTTTCTTTTTTTTTTTTTTTTGGTACATGCCCCTAGCTGGAACCGAACCCGGGACTCTCTGATCTGCAGGCTGATGCTCCAACCGCTGAGCCAAACCAGCCAGGGCTGTTTTATTGAGTTTTAGGGAGAGAGAGAAACATCAATCGATTGGTTGCCTCGCACACGCACCCTACCCAGGAATCAACCCAAAACCTGGGTATGTGCCCTGACTATAATCGAACTCACCACCTTTTTGTTGTATAGGCTACGCTCCAACCAATTGAGCCACGCCCACCAGGGAGTATGTTTACTGTTTATAGGGATAAGTGGCAGGAGTATAGCTGGGGTACGAGGTTCACTGGTTCTTTTGTCAGGATAATAAGAGGATCCTGACCAGTGTGGCTCAGATGCTTGAACATCATCCCATGCACTGAGAGGTTACTGGTTTGATTCCTGGTTAGGTGCCTGGGTTTTGGGCTCAATCCACAGTAGGGTGTGTACAAGAGGCAGCCTAACCATGTTTCTCTCCCTTTCCCTTCCTTTCTCTATAAAATCAATAAAAACATATTTAAAAAAATAAGAGAGAGAGAGAGAGAGAGAGAAAGATCAGAAGTGTTCAGAGGAGTACCCGTCTCAGTAAAAATACTTTAGTAGATTTTTCTATATCTGCCTATCAAATGATTGTTACTCAAATAATTACTGTTATTCTCTATAAAGTAAGAGTAATTCTTATTCCACAGTATCAATATAAAAATTGATTGAAATTAATTACATGTGACTTTTTAAAGTGCTCAAGAATGCTGTTAAACACTACTTTGTAAAAGCAAGGATATTTAGTTAAAGGAGTTTTTATGCTGGGTCTTAAATCACCCAACTATCTGAAAGATAGATATACATTAGATATTTGCAGGTAATAAATGTTTGAGCAATAAAACATTGAAGTAAAATGAAAACATAACTCTTCTAACAACTTTTAACTCTGAGATGTTGACCTAAACATGGCTAGATAAAAGAGATTTCGTGAGGTGGCTTGCAAATATAGTGACTTTTTAAGGTGTGTGTGTGTGTGTGCGCGCGCGTGCCTTGTCATTAATAGACATATTGTAGATATATGTATACCTCATTAAGATAAGAAAGTGGGTGGAAGTAAAATGGAAGGAAAGAGTGAAACAGGAGAGGAGGATGCCAGACTGGACATTTGGATCTGAATAGAGGACTAGAGGCACAAGTGAAACTTTCAAGAACACAGAGGACTGTCTTATTCTTTGGTGACTGCCTTGGGCTCAGTTCTCTTTTGTGACAGTTGTGTGGGCTTGTTGGGAGGGTAGACAGCATGAGAGGAGTAATAATTACATAAATGATTAAATTCTTTCTCAGCAGATATTCAGGCACCTGTTAGGTGGTTAATGTTATGTTAAAAAATGATGTAATCCTGAAGACTCTGTTACAGAGATTGATCAGAGAGGACCTGGACCAGTGAGAGCTAGACCAATCAGGCTTCTTGGGTTAGAGATGGGCCTTGGATTAGACCTGGAAATAAATGTGCAATAGCCAGTGTATCTCCCTAATACTAGTGTTGCTTTACATCGATCCATCCCTCACATTGCCAAAGTTATTTTTCTTTCCAAAGAAATGTTCCATTACACTCTAGTCTAAATATAACACAAAGCTGTTTTGGCATCCTAATTGCCTTTGCATAAAAATCCAAAAATTTGAACTGGGTATATGGCCCTTTACATCAACATGTAGCCTCAATTCTTATCTCACCATTTTTCTGTCCGTTCTACTCCACCCCACCATTTACCCTGTGCTCCCACCTGGGACATTTCACTCTGTTTCACTCATCCAAATGTTCCAGGTCTTTCCCTAACACATGCCTTTGCACATGGAGTTTAATATGCCTTCAAGCCTACAAGAAATGCCTGCTTAATCCTTTAAAGCCCAGCTGGGTATGGACCCCATTACCTTTTGAGATATCTACTGATTTAATTCAATACCTCTCCACCCTACCCCTCCAGATTTTTTTGTGTATGTGTCAGCCATTGTGTTCAAGTATGAGTAAGGCCCAATTCTTGCTAACAGTTATTTTGGTTTCTTTTCCCCGCTCTTTGCTCTCATAGTAATTTGTTCATATACCCCCATATCACTGAAGATATATCATTTTAGTATTTATTCTGTTTACATACCTTATTTCCTAATTATGTTAAAATTCTTTGAAAGCATATGTTTAATTTTATTCAGTATAAAATGTGTAACATTGAATATTTTTGCCGAATGGATACAATGTCTATATGTACAAAATGTACATAATTTCATCATGGAGATAAAATGGTTTGGAGAAAGGGGTTGCATGTAGTCCTCTAAAAATCTCGTCTTGCCCTGCCGGTGTGGCTCAGTGGACTGAGCTTCATCCCATGACCAAGAGGTTGGTCATCCGTTGGATTCCTGATCAAGGCACATGTCAGGGTTGTAGGCTTGATCCCCAGTAGGGAATGTAGAGCCAATTGATGTTTCTATCTCTCTCTCCCGATCCCTTCCTCTCTCTGAAATCAGTAAAAACATATTTTTTAAAAATCTATTTTTATAGTCACTAAATTATGATAAGATAAACAATATTTTTTATAACTGATTAATATTGAGTACTATGTAATTCATTTTAATTTTTATTACCTCTTTTTCAGTTAACTTTTCCTTATTCCCCCAAATTGGGTTTTGTGTTCTTGAATACTTTCATAGATTCTGTTTTTACCTTTGTTATTCATTGTCCTACATTCCAATTATCTCTTTAATCATGTTTTCCTAAATTGTAAGCTTTCTGAAAGCAAAGTCTGTTTTGTTCATTTATTATGTTTTCAGAATAATAGTAGTTTAATAGTATTTGTATATAAACTCTTTTTCCCTTGCTTAAAATAATATTTTCAGTATCTCCCTTGAAATTTCAAGTAAATACTTATACATTCATGTTGTTTTATTTGTGATAATTTGCAATCCACTTGCTTTTGTTTTGGTCTTATACAAATGTTTAATAGAGACTCCCAACCCTCACCAACTCCTCCACCATAACTGTTTCAGTGGACATACAAAGTAACTTAGATTCTTAACCCTTGGGGAAAACTTTTGGACAATTTATGTTTTGTGCAGCTAGCATGATGGCCCAGTAAGCATTTCTCAGTCTCCCACCCCACTACACAGGGATGATTACTTAGCCTCTTCATTCTAACTGTCCATGTTCTTCAAGTCCCTCTGTCCCATGTGACAGCTCCCTTTACCAAAAGATGAGGGATATAGTTCTAATATTTAGTGGTGCAATTTCCTTCTTTCTTTATCCCAGAGCTCCATTGTAAAATTCTCAGCTGTGTTGCCTTTTTTTTTTAATCCTCACCCGAGGACATTTTTCCATATTTTGTTTAGATAGAGTGGGAGGGGGAGAGAGAGAGAGAGAGAGAGAGAGAAACATCGACGTGAAAGGGACACATCGAGTGGCTGCCACCCGCACGACCCAACCAGGGCCGGGGACAAACTGCAACCGAGGTACATGCCCTTAGCAGGAACCGAACCCC